AAAGAAGGAAATTCTGACAGATGGATCAACCTTGAAGGCACTATGGTAAGTGAAATAAACCAGTTACAGAAAAACAAATAAATACTGCATGAGTCCACTCATGTGAGGTACTTAGGGTAGTCAAATTCATAGACTGGAAGTTGTATGCTGGTTGCCAGGGGCTGGGGGCTGAGGGGTTATGAACTATTGTTTAATGGATACAGAATTTTAATTTGGGAAGGCAGAACCCATTCTGGAGAGGTATAGTGGTGATGGCTGCACACAATGTGAAGTATTTAATGCCACTGAAGTATACACTTGGAAATAGTTTAATGGCATATCTTATGTCATGTAAATTTTAGCACAGTAAAAAAGTAACTTCACAAAAACATATTTTAAATAAACATATTGCATTTGCTGCCCCATTTAAAGACAACCTGATAATGAAGGATTTATAGTTGCTGAAGCTGAAGGCAGAGCCATCCCCCTATTTCTTTCCACATGTAGACTTCTCCTTCACATTTTAAGAGGAAAAATAAAAAACTCATTGTTCATTTTGGTACATCTTCCTATTCTTAGATACTTCAGTCAAACGGAAGAAGCAGAGAGTAGAATGGTGATTAGGGGTTAGGGGAGATGAGATGTTCTCACCACACATATACAAATGTAACTGTGTAAGGTGATAGATGTGTTTATTAGTTTGATTGTGATAATCATTTCACAATGCACACATATATCAGAATATCATGTTGTACATATTAAATGGATACAACTTTTGTCAATTATATCTTACTAATGCTGTGTGTGGGGGGAAGAAACTTCAGCCTTTGATGTCAATAGAGGCTGTTTTAAAGAGAAGGAGCTTTTCATTTGCCAAGGCAGTCAAATGAATGTTTTTTGTTTGTTCGTTTGGTTGTTTTTTTTTGTTTTGTGTTTTGTTTTGTTTTGAAACAGAATGTCACACCGTCACCAGGCTGGAGTGCAGTGGTGCAATCTCAGCTTACTGCAATCTCTGCCTCCTGGGTTCAATCAATTCTCCTGCCTCAGCCTCCCGAATAGCTGGGATTACAGGCATGCACCACCACGCACAGCTAATCTTTGTATTTTTAGAAGAGATGGGGTTTCACCATGTTGGCCAGAATGGTCTCAGTCTCTTGACCTCGTGATCCACCCGCCTTGGCCTCCCAAAGTGCTGGGATTACAGGCATAAGATACCGTACCGGCCTCAGTCAAATGTTTACATAAAATAAGTCACTGGATTTTTGCCCTTAGCATTCAGGTCTCTACTCTGTCCTCACCTGCCAGGAAGTTCCCTGAAAGAGCTCCTTCAGGCAGGGAAGTGTAACATTTTAAGGGAGAAGAGCATCTAAATGTATTTAGTAATTTTCAATAATTTTCAAATCACTTTCACCAATCATTGCAACAGTTGAAGACTGACCTAAAGCATTCTTTTGATTCAAATGCACAAAACTTCCTAGAGAACATGTTAGAATCTGTACATTCCAGTTACATTTGCTATGGGTTACTGAGCTTCTCAGAGGGTAGGTGCTCATTGAAAATGAAGATGAGATTCCAATAGTTGCTGATTTATGGTGAGACTGTCAGGTAAAAGCCTCAGTCCCTCAGTGGTTACCCTTTGGGGTAAGGACTGGGAGGGGCCACAAGGAGGCTTTGTCAGACGTTCATTATACTGGTTCTTGATCTGAGTGCTAGTTAAGTAACTGTGTTCAGTTTGTGCAAGTTCATCGGCCCAAACCGAAAAAAAAAAAAAAAAAAGATTTTTGTGGAAAAAAAAAATCTGTGTGTAGAGTATGTACATTGTATCATCTGATACAATTAGAATTAATCTTTCTAAGAAGAGAAATTCTGTTTTGCTCACAGCTATATCCCCACTGCCTAGTGCAGTAAGCCATGCTCTCAGTAAATATTTATTAAGGAATGAATGAATGAATGAATGAATGAATGAAATCTTTTTACCAGAAAAGCTTCCTGTGGAGTTCCATTCAATAGCTTCTTTCTACATCCACAATATTAATCTGTAGATCTATTTATATTCAACCTGTTATACAAGAAAAATTACACCTGCATGAAAGTATTATTTGAAATGATTCTTGAAATTTTCTACAGCCCAGGTGTATACGTTCTCAGGGCCCCCTCACACTTCTGAAGCACTTATACCTAGCGATTATCGTTATACTGGCCTCACAGGAAGTATCATTTCCAAAGACGCTTTGATTTCCATTCACTGTCACTGCAGCATTAACAAATATGATGTGGTATAAGGGCAATGGCCTTCAGTCTAAAGACCTCATCACTACCCTGCATTACAAGTCTGAGCCCTACTGTAGTTGTTTTGAAACTCATTAGTTAGATACAATGTTGCCTGAGTCCTCTAATAGCTCTAAAGTTCCTGGATTATGTGAAATGTTTAGCAACTTTCCTGTAATAAGATAAAAAGAAGGTTGAAATAAAACTATGAGTCAGTAAGTTTATTAATGCAAAATCAATTTTTCCAACTGATCAGTTAATTATAATTCTAAAAGCTATTTCAGAAACAGCTGATTTCACTTTGGTTCAAATTCTCCCTTTCTACTAGTTAACATGAAGTATCTTCATAAATGCCCCCATAAGCTTCTATATATTTAGGGAATAGAAATGTTTTCCTAAGATTGGATACTAGGGTCCTATTCAAACTCAACATCTAATTTGAGGAGTAAGTCATTTGTAGTCAAAACAGTGTACAAAGAACATTCGGGGCTGGGGGCCTTTTCTTTAATAAAAGTTTTATTAAACTTTATGATATGCCAGAAACATCTATGTAATCACAGAGGGCAGGGCCTTGGTTACTAAGAACAGTCCAGTGAATATAATGGGTTGGATTGTGGGTTAATAGCTACATACTTAAAAGTTAATAGGAATAAAGGAATATGTAAAGGAGTTATATGGAAATAAAAGGCTATTCCACAATACAATTCTCTGAATTACAATAATGCCTGCTACTGTGAGTTCTGCAGAGCTCAGAATTAAATGAGCTTGTAATGTATCTCCCTGGTTTTGAACACGCAGCAGTTTCGGTTTCCCCTAAACTGATAAGTCGCGAAAAGTCCACATTCTCAGTCTTGGATTGTAAAGCACAAGGACAAAAGCAATCCCACTCCCCTACTTCCTAGCTGTGTGGCTTTGGGAAAGTTACTTGGCTTCTCTAAGCCTTAATTTCCTAATTTTTAAAATGCGGTTGTTGTGAGAACTAAATGAGGTGATACACATAACATGTGAAGCGCCCAGTAAATCTAAAGCTTTCAAAACCGGTTGGCTATCATTACCACTAAAGTAGAAAGTATCAGTTGCCAAATTCCATTTCAGTACTTCTGCAAGTATTGCCATTATTACATTATTTTAACAGCAGGGCATGGTTAGCATAATGCAGTTCCATAAAGCAGCCCAGTCTCCTAGGTTTGTATTTAGCGGTTACCGTGTTCCTTTCCAGGACCACCCCAGGGGGAGCTCCTGGTGCAGAACCAATGCCCCCTGCCCCATTACATTTGGCTCCATCTCCTATTGCAAAAGCCTGGGGCAAGGAAGGGCTCAATCTCTTAGACCCGCACTTCTGAGCGTTAACCATCTGGGACACGGAAAGGAAAAGAACGCTTCCCTCTCAGGACAGTTCTGCGCTGGCGGTAGCCAAGGGCTGGAGCCCCTGGTGCGAAGAAAAAGGCAGAAGAGAGGCGGGGTGCGAAAGAAACGCCATCGCTCGGCACTCTCTCTCCGTGCCCGCGACGAAGGGGCCGCCCTTCAGCGTCCAGGGGACGTAGAGGTGGCTGCGGGCCGGGAGCAGGGCGGGAGGGGAGGCGATGGGTGTGGGGGGAGGCAGCGGCCTGTTCGCCAGCCCCCGAGCCCGGGGAGCCCTCCGGCAGCGCTTGCTGCCCTGAGGACACAGCTCTAGGAGAATGACTCCCCCCTGGCTCACCCTACCGCGACACCCCGTCCCCCTCCGCACTCTGGCAGATGCGGGCCGGGAGTGGCTAAGCTGGCCAACCGCCGGGGACCAGGATGCGGCGGCGCCCACCCGCGCAGCGTGGAGGGGCCGGGGGCGGCGCACGGCGCAGATGGCGCTCGCTGCGAGATGGATGCTCCAGGGCGAGTAATCACTCCTGGCTCAACACTGCATCCCAGGCGGAGCGGATGCCAGATCCCACCGCAAAGAGCCTGGGTAGAGAAGGCAATCTTGCCAGGCAGCCGGAGCCCAGCGCGCCAGCCCCGACAAGTTCCAGCCCTCGGAGGCAGGGCGGGGCACGGGGACGCCCGGGACCAGCACCTGTAAGGCCGACAAAGCCCCCGCAAGCGCCCCCACCCTTCTGTCCTCGGTGTCTCTCCCGTTTCGCCTCGATTCCCCGAGCCCTCTCCAGGCAGCGAGAGTAGAGAAGCGAAGTCGGCCTCGCCCCCTGAACTCGGCGGTAGGCGCAGGTGTAGCCGCTTCGGAACAAAGCCCACGCCCAGATGTGTCCGCGGGGGCGGGAACAGGCGGACGCCAGTGCGCTCCGGGCCCGGCCCCCGCGCTCCTCACCCCGCCGGCATGTGGCGTGCCCCGCGCCTCCGTGTCCAGGTCCGGGAAGCCGCCGTGCCGGGCCCTCAGGCTCTCAATGCCCAACTGCCCACGAGCAAAAAAGCTCCCGGCAGGGCTTCCCGGAAAGCGTGGGGTGCGGGCGCGGAGCAGAAGTTGGCCATAGACCGGAGGGGGTGGTGGGTGCCGGCGCTGCTGGATTTCAGCTGTGCCCTCACCCGGGCGCGGGTCCCTCTGCTCCCTCTAGGCGCCCGCGGCAGTGTCGGGGGCCTGCAGGGCAGAAGGGAGTTGGAGATCCGCTTCGCCCCTCCCGCAGCGCTGCCAGCCGGGTGAGCGCTCAGCTGAACCCCGCGCCGGTGTCCCAGTGACAACGCAGCAGCCTCGCGCGTCCTCCTCCGCTCCGGCCGTCACCCCCGAACAGGACCCAGTGTCGCCGCCAGACGCTCTGGGAGCTACTCACGTTCTCGCACCGCGCCCACCGCTCTGCTCTGGCGCGACCGCCCAGGACCGTGGACCGCCGAAGTCCTCGTTTCTCGACGAAGCTGTCCCCTCTGGCTGCTCCAGCCAGGCGGCCTCTGCGCTGTCCCCCGCGCCCGCGCGTCTAAGGCTCGGACTGCCGCGCGCGTCCGCCAGCGACCCTGGCAAAGCGAGGCTGGCCCCGCGCCGGCGCGCGCCCCCGCCGCTCCCGCCCTCTCCGCTCTAGCCCTCTCAGCTCCGCTCCCCGCGCGGTGCTTCTGCCCCTCCCGGCTCTCCTTCGCGTCCTCCCGTCCCCCTCCCCCGCACTCCTCCCGGGCTCCCCCGCCTCTTCCCCGCCCTGCTGCTGAGAAGGCAGTGAATGGGCTCCGGCTGCCGGCGTCCCGAGGGACTGGGTGGCCCCTCACCTGAGCGGCCGCGCCGCCGCCGACCTCCCTCAGCCTGCCAGCGCGTGTGGCGGTGGCGGCGGGGGGGCAGGGACGGAGGCCGGGAGTGTTCCGGGACTAGGGCGATTGGGATTTAGCTACAAAAGATTCTAGAAAATGGGTAGTTTTTAAATGACACTCTCATGGGTTTAGGTTTCTCTGGGAGGTCCGTGTCTTCTAGTTTTTTTCTTTTTTAAAAAGCATTTACTTTCTTCGAAATTCATCAATCGGGGTGATTGAGATTGGGTGTTTTTTTGGTTTTTTATTTTGTTTTGTTTTTGCAACTGTTCTTTCCAAACATCCCCCAGAAAAAGGGCCTTCGGCATAAGGCAGATGCTATCTATCCGCGGTAGAAATTAGATCTTCGGATCCCAGCAAATAGGGTTAGTTAGGATTTGCTTATTTCCAGATGTGGTAGTATGATGGAGTTTTTTTTTGTTTTTTTTTGGCAACGTAAATCGAGAATTAAGATTTTCTAACTGTGTAGTGTTTGAGCAAACCCATTGCATGCTACATTGTTCAGGTTCTGGAGCCCATTATCCACTCTGTCCTGGATGGTGTCCAAGATCCTTAGCTTGACCCATAAGGTCCTCCGTAATCTACTCCGGTCTGCACACCAAATAACTTGTCTGCTGGGTATCATCCGACTTTACCATTTACAGCAGATTCCAGCTCTTGGTGGGGTGAGCGGAGCCTTGCTTCCTTCAGCTCTCTAATTCTAATTCTTTGAGCTTCTCACCACCCCACCCCACCCCACCCCGAGGTCCTCGTTTCTCGACGGCCTCCTCCTCCACCCCCAGCCTCCAAGGTGCTAGGGCAAGATTCAGGAATGAAAAAGAAACCGATTCATACTTCAAGGTCCTGACAACCCCCATGCTCTAACTTCAGTTTGAACTTGCCCCCTCAGCTCACAGTATCCAAACGCAAGTGACTAGCCTTCTTTTCCTTCTCCTTCTACCGCCATCCTCTCCTCCTCCTTCTCCAGCCACCTGTGCTCTGGCTTCACAGAGCCTCCCTCAGTTCCTGAACCAGTGCTATTATCTCTAGCTGCTGGGTCATTGCACACGTGATTTCCTCAGTCCCTTCAGTGGCTCTTCTGACTCTCGTTCTTCCCCAACTGCCATTCAGGTGGGTACCTTGCACCTCTCAACTAATTGTCCAAATTTTCCTCTAAAATACCTTCTCCCTAAAAAAAGATTCCATGATCCCCTTACTTGAAAGTCTGGGCTGGTGGGCTGGTTCTCTATTGCCTACAAAGTAAATTCCAGATCTCCTGGTGTGCCTCTTTACAATCTGCTCCTAACTTATTTCTCAATTTTCCGTAACTCTAAGCCGCTGCCTGTGAGATTCCTCCTAGCTAGCATATTCGTCCATTTCTTTTTCATTTGGCAAACTCGTTCATCCTTCACAGCCTTACTAGGTTGTTACCTCCTCTGTAAATTTTTATTATAGTAGTGCTGGTCACCTTTTAATGATCTGTTTACCTGTCTGACTCCACAAAATTTCACTTCTTAATTTCACTTCTTTGGGGACAATTTGTCTTATTTATTTTTTTGTAACCATTTTCTCCTTAATACAAATGAAGCCACAGATAACCATAATCAACTCTCACTACTCCATCATTTCTCCCTGTATAAAGGACTTGGGGCGCCTCTGTTCCTTCCCCACTGCAGTAGTTGTGACAATCCTGGGGTCTTCCTACCTGTCCTTCTCATGTCCTTCTACCTTCAACTCTGGTTTTCCAAGGTTGCCCTTTCACCCCGGCCACTGTGAAATACTGATTTCTGGTCCACATTATTTCCAACGAATCCCACAGGGCAAACCTGTGAAGTGGGAAAATGACATCCTACTCTCTTCAGTTCTTGCCTGGGTTCTGGGTAGTAATTTGTCCCTTGGGCACTGAAGCAGCATTGCTTGTGTCTTCCTGTGTTGCAGTCTCATAAAGATGCTCCTTAAACAACTCCTTGAACTTCTGCTTAGAATTATTCTTTCTCTTCAGGCTCTAGTCGTGGTCCATGAGGCCAGGATGAAGCAGACGATATTTGGTCCTAGTGAAGTCCACGTTAGTCCTGATGCCTGGGAGACTACTTAGGATATTGGGGGTTGCTGAAAGAATAAGGACATAAATAGAATCTCATTTTTTTTCATGCAAGTGATGATTTCTCTAGGTATAGTTTCCCTTATCTTTACAGATAGAATAACAATACTTAATGCATACAGTTATTGTAAGAAAGCACTGGACAGTATCTAGGACATAATAGGTGCTCAGCAAATTCTAGTTTGAACAGTAATTGTTTGATAAGATGTCTGTCATATAAATACATGCTAGAATAAAAATACAAAGCCAGAAAAGAAAAAGCTCTGGAGAAGATAGGAACCACAGTGAGAGTACAAAACAAAAAATTGAATTAAATAACTTCTGGCCGGGCATGGTAGCTCATGCCTGTAATCTCAGCATTTTGGGTGGCTGAGTAGGGCAGATCACTTGAGGTCAGAGTTCGAAACCAGCCTGGCCAACATGGTGAAACCCGTCTCCACTAAAAATATAAAAATTAGCTGGGCAGGGTGGTGTGTGTCTGTAATCCTAGTTATTGGGGAGGCTGAGGCAGGAGAATCATTACTTGAACCCAGGAGGCAGAAGTTGCAGTGAGCCGGGATTGCACCACTGCACTCCAGCCTGGGATACAGAGTGCGACTCCATCTCAAAAAACAAATGAAAAAATAAGTAACTTTGATGCTACATAATAATTGCCATAATATAAAATTAGTATATAGTTCTAATTTCCAGCTTATTATTTCAATTGCCCTGTAGCCCTACATTGCTGGGGATTCGTTTCCTGAGGGAATGAGCAACAGGAAGAACAAACTGAGGCAGCAAGAGGAGCTTAAATGAAGGGAGCATGGAGGTGGGGATAGAAAAACGCTTTACGATTAGAAGATGGCAGCGTGGGCACATAGACTTTCTAATGCAGTCTGTTTGGTTTGCTTGGTGATGCATGAGGCAGTTTGATTTGGCTGCATTTGGCTGGTGGTACACCCAACTCACCTTCTTACCCTAACTGCTGCTATCCTGTTCCCATCCCTAAGCCTTATCCTCTCCCTATTACCAAGCCTCATTCCATCTTCAAACTCAGCCGAGGACTGGGAACAAGGTCTGTGCCCTCATCATATGATAATAATAGAATTTTCCATGTGCTCAGTACTGTTGTAAACACTTTGCATTTATTAACTCATTCTGACAAAAATCCCATTCAGTAGGCACTGTTATCATCCCCCATCTAGAAAATAAGGCAAGGAAAGTCAGATAACTTGCAGATTCTCACAGCTCTCTGCAAAGATGGGATTAAGCTCCACATTAAGACTCCAAAGTTAAGTCTTAACCAATCATTGTACCATGCTGCCTATCAATGACAACACACCAAGTTTCATTATTTTGATGGACACATCAGAATGTCACTGTTAAAACAGCTACATTAGAAAGTCATGGAGCCCCCCGGTGGTACCTGCAGTGAATACGTTTTAGCCTTTCTCTCTTCGGCTACTTCTGCAGTCCTGTCTCTTTTTCTGAGTTCTCCCTCCCGTCTTTTCCTCTTCCACATTTTTTTTAACACCTTGCCTTATTTTTCATCTCAATTTTCTTAATCCACATCCATGCTGCAGGGCTCCCAGGGGTGGCAATATCACTGGTCCTGTCCTAAAACCTAATGTTGAATTCAGCAAAACCCAACATGGACCCAGCAGTGTTAGTAATGAGCCTGCTGCTTTGCTGTAAAAAGAAAGGGGCTCAGTGAACACAGAAATTCTTTTTCAGCTGTGTCATTTTATGATTCTGGTGGTAACCAGGAGTATTTTTTTGGCTCCTCTAGTAAAACTCAGATAGATAAAATCTGGCTGAATTCTAGTAAGAATGTTTGGAGCAATAAAAAGTAACAACAATAAAATAAAATAAAAAATCCTACAGTAGTATAACAGGTTTGCTAGAAGATGAGCTTATACAAGTGTAATCATTATCTTAATATAATAGGCTATGGCTGGGCAACATGCATTAAATTTCTGATAGGCATGTGGCAAATGCAGTAGTTTTTAAAGCCCTTCTATTTGAAAGGGTATTATACCCCAATAGTGTCAGAAAGCATAGTTGTTATAATGGGAGACTTTCTAAACTGGTTCTCAGTGACATTCTTCTCTTGGTATTCTTCCTTGTGTGTAATCTCCTCCCGTTGATACTAGACCTAGTGACTCTATTCTAACTATCAGAATATGGCAAATGTAGTGGGATGTCACTTCCTATATTGGGTTTCAGATCATTCTGGTTTCTGTCTTGCTGTCTTGCTCTTTTGCTTACTTGCTTGGAGGGAAGACTGCTGCCATGTTGTAAGCTGCCATATGGAAAGGAAGGCTCTCATGGCAAGGAACTCATGAGGAGATCCCTTGGCCAACAGCATGTGAGGAACTGAGGCTCTCAGTCCTTCAGCCCAAAAGCATCTGAATCTTGCCACAGCTATATGAATGAACTCAAAAGCAGATATGGTGCTGGATAAAGAATCATTTGTAGGACAGATAAGTCATCGGTATGACTTGACCGAAGTTAACCTCAGCAGCTCTTAGCTCCATACCCCAGAGTCACACTGAGCTTCTATAGCTAGGCCTGGGTTGACCATTCACTGTGCCCTACCCAGAGCTGGTCCTTTTCCCTCTTGGATGCCAGCCACAGTCTCAGCTGGCCCATACTTCTTAGAGCCTCACAGTGGGTGATTATTACCCACTATGGATAATAGGATATGTGGTTATGAATTTATAATATGTAAGTATTAGGATGTG